TGTTCGGAGCCGACAACAGATAAAGCGCATCACCAAGCCGCGGGCGCATGAATGCCCGAACATCTTGATAATTTACCACCGACTTCCATACATTCTCTCCAGACGGATTTCCCATAACGTGAGGTTAAAGAACTAACCGAGAGCAGCCGTTACATAACGAAATGCCTTGCACTCCACGAAAAATAAGTACAGCACAACACATCAAGCCCTGGTGCTCGTACAGATATTCTGAGAAATGAACGTTATGCTGCATCAAGCAAACGGTCGAGCACCAGGCACCCGTTGCGCTGAGAGCTATGATTAGTGATTGATGAAGGCTGTCGGAATTTATGGCGTCCAAAGCACGCTGCATTATGGACGTCCAGTGTGATCGCTCAGGGGTGAGGCGCGAGCCACGAGCACATGATCCAGGCTGGCGAGCCGTGAGTTGTGTGCCGTGAACCGTGAACCGTGAGTCATGAACCATCTGTCTTGGACTGTCAGCCGTGAGCCATGAGCTGCGAGCTAGAGCTGCGATCTGTGATCCGTGAACCATGGACCAAGAGTTGTGAACCACAATCTGTGAGCTATACGGAAACTGAGTCGTGAGCCACATGAGCAGTGACGCCTATCTTTCTGGCCGTCTGGCCGTTGAGCAGTAGCGTTTGCCCGTCTGCCGTCTATCCGTATCGCCGTGAGCAGAAGCGTCTATCCGTCTGGTTTTCTTGCCGTTTCACTGTTGAGCAGTAGCGTCTACCCGTCTCACCGTCTGACCGTCTCGCCGCCTCACCGCTGGGCGGTAGCGTCTACCCGTCTCACCGTCTGGCCGTCAATCCGTCTCGCCGGCGAGCAGTAGCGTCTACCCGTCTCACCATGAGCAGTAGCGTCTACCCGTCTGACCATCTGGCCGTTTCGCCGCTGAGCAGCACCCTCTATCCGTCTAGCCGCTGAGCAGCAGCGTCTACCCGTCTGACCGTCTGGCCGTTTCGCCGTTGAGCAGGGCGGCCGCGACGGCCCGCCGCGTGAAGCAGAACACATTGCCCATTACGGCTCACCGCAGCCGGCTCATTTGCATTGAGTAGTGCTGTGCGGCTCCGCCCTCCATCCCTGGCCGGCGCGGCGGCTCCCTCCCTCAGTCCGTTCGTATTGCTCGCCTGTCGGCGTCAGCACTGCAGCCGCTAGCTCCTCCCGCCAGCTCCGTCCGCAGCTCCGTCTGCCAGCTCCATCCGGCCGCCAGCTCCGTCTGCCAGCTCCGTCCGCCGGCTCCGTCCGCCAGCTCTGTCCGCAGCTCCGTCCGCCAGCTCCAGCCGCCAGCTCCAGCCGCCAGCTCCGGCCGCCAGCTCCGGCCGCCAGCTCCGTCCGCCAGCTCCGTCCGCCAGCTCCGTCCGCCAGCTCCGTCCGCTCACAGTCTCTGTGTCACTCACACTGATACGATGGGACATGACGTGCCGGGGCAATAGCCATCAGCTGAGATCACCGTCCAGGTTCCGAGAGACGATGCAGAAGGGACGGCCAGCTATACGGCGCACATCGACCCGCGCCGTCGCCGCGCCGGCCGCTGAGTAAAGCCACCCAATTCCAGTTCATCAGAAACTTGGTGTGATGACTGCGCTCATTTTGAAACCAAAGACCATCACAACTTCTCGGAACGTCCCATATCCCGGCGGAAAGAATGAAGGTCGATACACCGCGTCGCTGGAGCACTACGCGACAGTGCCAGCGTCAGGCGGAACTAAGGAACTGGGGAGAGGTCCGCGCCAACTCTTCTCCCGCCGCTGTTTCTATGCTACCGTCGGAGTCCGCCAGCTCCCCTCCCGATCTTTTGTGGCCCGTCCCCGTGCCCGGGCCGAGCAGGTGCGGCTCGCCGCTTCATCTGGCACGGCTGGCTCAGCTCAGCCAGCGCCGCCGGAGGGCTGCCAGCCCAACAATCTGGCCGGACCGGCTCGGTGGGCGCCGAGCTGCCGCCGAGACCCGTATCGCCGCCCCCCACCCCCCACTGCTGCCGCCCCGCCCCCTCTGCCGCCACCCCCGCCCCCACTGCCGCCACCCCCGCCTCCGCCGCCACCATTGCGGTTCATTCCCGTGCGGTATATTCGCACGGTACTGGCCGGTTAGTTTATTTCTTTTCCTGTAGACGTCATGGCCTGTGATGCATAAACGCTGTGTAAGTCTGGTGAAAACACGGTGGACAATTGTCATAGAAATGACAATTTTACATGCTGATTATTCCGGATCGTGAGAGCCAGGCATCATACATGTGCCATCACACACTGTTGACCGGTATTTTTCACAGCCAGCTGAAACATATGTTGAACCTACTACGACCATGACTGTCAGGCGTGGTCTGCATACTTCAATACGCATAAACAATAAACAAGCACGCGTGAAAGTTACGATTCATTACAAAGCAAAATAATCACCGTCTCCCGATCTATTATCACCTCCAGGTTTTCTCAATCCTTCCCACCTCTTCTGAACAGGCAGCCGCCCCCCCCCCCCGGATCTCATCCTCCTTGCCCTATCCATCCCTCTCCCAGGATAAGAGCAGCCTCTCCCCCTCCCCGGTAGCCGTGGAGCCGTCAGCACTGGTGTGCCGCAGCCGGTGCCGGTGGACCACGGACCACGAACGGATGGCGACACCTTGCAGCCCGGTCGTGAGCGGCGGCCGCCGACCGTGTCGCCGCCACTGCCTGGCCTTGCAGTCATTGCCGGCAGCGCGGCTCGACAGGCGCCGTCGACGGGGCCACTGAACGGACGGGGACGCGAGAGAGCCAGGAGAGGGAGGGAAGAGAGCGGCGATGTCATTTGGAGGTGGTGGTGGTTTGATGCGGACACCGGATGTAGGCGGTAGATAGTCGGCACGGCAAGGCAGGAGCTGGTGATCAGCGAATCACGATCTGAACACTGGCATAGTTGTGTGGGCTGAGCCGAGCTCCGCGGCCGGGTTATACATGGCTGGGCGGGCGGGCGGAGCACGGGTGGGGCTGGGGCAGGGCTGGGGTGAGCCCGGCGAGCGGCTCAGCCGCCGCGGGCCACCGGCAGACAACAGCGAGAGGCAGACGACCTGTGGAGACGGGTGACGGGGGAAGACCGCACTGATGAAGCAGAAATGTCGCTGACCGACCAGACAAGCCAGACAGCCATCCAAAGAGCAAGCCAGGGAGAGATCTAGCGAGCCACCGAGTAAAGCGAGTCAGCCAGTCATCCAAAAGGCAAGCCAGCGAGTCAACGAGCTAGACAGTAGACAGTCAGCCGGCCCAGCCAGCCAGCCCGCCGGACACTGACCAAACCGTCTCGGTCCCGATCACGACCGGCGATATGGCAATCAAGAGCGACCACCTGGCCGGCGCGGAGGCGACGGCGGTGACTGGTCGGGCCCGTTCTCCGCCGATCGCGTGACCGGCCCGGCTCGAGAGCTTATGGCGGCGCCAAGGTTACACGGCCGGCGACACGCAGGCCAATGAAAGGGCAGCCGGCGCCCCGTCACCGGCGGTGACGGGCGCACCGGGCTACCTAATGTCGAGGAAATACTAATTCAGCCGGTAAATCATCCGCGACACCATTGCGGCGGCCATCCTCTGCCGGTCTGCAATCAGCGTAGAGTTATGTCGCACGGCACCGTTACAACTGAATTAGGTGCACTGTTCATCACATTAGAAAGATCCGTGTTTGCGGCGCCATTTAGAGCTCATGACCCAGTAATAAAATGAGAGGTCCCGTTCCGAGCTGGCCGCGTGACTGGCTAATCAAAAACGGACGGCCGCAGCGCCGGCAGACAACACATGGGCAGACACACGAGCAACAGCGAGAGCAGCGGCGCGCGGGCCGACGCAGACCCCCGAGACGTTACCGGAAGTAGCTCGTGCGGCGATCGAACAGGAAAGCGAATGCGATATCTCCGCAAAAAGGGGGAGAACAAACCTATAAAAAGATGAAAACGAAAATAAAATGCAAAACATTAGCTTTCACAACACTTGGATGGGTCAAAGTCCTTCAGAAATGCTTTCTTCAAGGTATAAACATTACCTATACGTCTATAAAAAAAAAAATCATCTTACAGACGACTAAAGACTTGTTCCCAAACAAGCGGATTACAGGTACCTACCTATGCACTGGGTGCACAGTGCACACCATGCCAAAGGTATCTGCTGACGATATTCATCCCCAAAATTTGCATTTAAATCGCTGGCGGCGCACCTTCCACCGGCAGCCAGGACTATCTCAGCAACAACCAATAAACATTGTGTTCCCCAGCGCCACATCAGCCTCTGACGGACTCTCATCTCCTCCCCTGCCGAGCCACGTCACTCGACGGCACTTCGTCTTTCCCAGCGACACTGATACAAACGCCTTAAGGAAGGATGTCGGACCTCTGTGGGAAACATTCGGCTGTGCATGAACTCACCTATTCCGGGAATAGCACTGACACGACTCGGCAGGACCCGGGGGTCGAGACAGGAAAATTGAGAGAGGTGGGAGGCGTCGGAGGTCATTGCGCCTGAGAGACGCCTAGAGATAGATGATGGAGATGTCACATGACTTGTTCAATGTTCATGCATGTAAGTGCCATCTACTATTCATGGTCCAGCAGAGGAAGGGTCAACGCGGAATACATAGGGTGGAGCCCAGGTGCAAGGTGCGGTATCGTTTGACGTTCGCAGGCTTATCCAGAGGAAACTAACACGAGTGAAAGGAACATTGCATAAAACCAGAGTGGAATGCCACAGCGGAAGCGGATGAGCAAAACATGAACCCTTCAGTCATCGCTCCTTTTCGGCAAAGTCTGTAAAACGTTTCCTGCAAAACATTTGTTTTCCTTACAGGGATGATATTGTGTTCGGTGAACTTCGAGGTAAAGGGCATTCAAAGACGCGAAGCAGAACACAGCAACAACATACATGTAGCATAACAAACAACACACCAGAATTCCATCCTTGGCCCAGAGGTGCTCACCCACCCACCACTGACCGCACTCCGCTGACACTCACAAACCACTCCCCACAAACTCCGATAACACTCACCCCGGGAGTTTTCGACTGCGGTCCGAACGGGTAGCGGGTCCACTCCAGGAGTTGTTCCTTCGTGGTGTCCAGCAGGACAACTGAAACAACAGACCGGAACAGCGTCAAACATCGGGAGGAGGCAGCCGTCAGCCCTCAGCGGTCAGCGCTCAGCCGTCAGCGATCAGCCGCCAGCGCCCAGCCGTCGGCGCTCAGCAGGAACAGAACAGGCCGAGCCCCGGGACCACCTCTCAGCACAGGCCGCAGTCGCGACGGCAATAGGCAGGACGTTGGAGGAGGTCAGAAGGAGCCCAGGGAAATCAGCACAAGATGGCAGCGGAGATCAGAGTTGGCGTAATTTGCGGTGGATTAGGCCGCAAAACGGTCTATTTTTAGCGCGTACAGGCGCCGGGTGCACGGCAACGAAACTGGACGACAAATTACAGTCGGGTGCGCCCTGTGTGGGATCCAGGGGGAACAAAGAGGCAATTTACCCCTCCTAAAAGACCTCATTTGCACTGCTACGGCGGCGGAGTACATGAAAATAAATTTACAATTAGGGTGGTATATCCTTCTCTTTAAACTTTATTTTTATCATTAGTGATCTCTCTGTTTTCTTCCTCTTTACAGCGTTCTAAATACGGAGACACTTGAATTTATTGCAACACATCCGCGTTCTCCAACGACCACAAAGGTGCCCATCATGAAACTCACACAAACACACAGCTCTTTCGGACTGTGACTCCTTGTGAAAACAAGACATCACAAGTCGGGAGACGCCGCCCTTTGACCGAACCCAAACAGCTAATCGATGAAATGAAGAAAACTTGGCGCCTGGACCTTTATCTGTTGGACGACCGTGGCCCGGTCCGTCGGTGGGGGCCGGGTGCCGACTGGGCAGAAACGCCGGTCACGTTCCCATAAAGGCGCGTCACGTCGGCCGCCGCGCGTCGGCGGCGGCGCCCGGAAAGTCGGCCGGTTGTATATACGATGTTGACCCGGGTGTGTCACTGCCATAACGCCGCAGGGGACGATCAATAAACGAGCCGTCTGAACGCGCTCGTAGAGAAACGCGATCGGAAATGATGGCCCCGAAACCGTCAGAATCGGAAGTTGTACTGTCACCAGTTTTACGGGAAAACTTAACGAGGAATGCATTACATCAGTCGCGACAGCCAAATAGATTTTTCCCCAGACATACAGGTCGAGTAACTCAGTCCAATGACAATGAAATATTATGAATGATCTAGTAGTGACGCGTCTGCGACTGACAGCGGTACCACATGCTGGCGCTCTTCTGTGAATCAAATATCGCCGTCATCGCCGGCATTGTTGGCCGCAATATCGCCGCCATTGTGCGGAATCCGCCACGCACCCACACACAGGTTCCCACTCGCCTGCCGTCCCAAACATGGCCAGCAGTTCACCCACGCTCACATGACACGCTCGCATTTGTTCGCCGAAGCAGTCCCGGAAAATCGCTGCAGACCGTCAAAAACGAACACGCTCCATATTGGTAACCCTGGTCATCACTTCTGCACAGAGTATTGCAGGAATTCCCCTCGCCCCTTGGCTTCCGATAACCCCATGCTGACGCACACACTCCCCTGCTAAAGACGGCTCCCCGTCCCCAGCAACTGAGCTATTCGAAGATAGCAATTCGTCCTGCAATCCAACCGTTACAATCCGCGCTACACGATCTCAAATCCGTCCCATTGCAATCGCATGTTTTGTGTTGCCCCGGTTATAAGTACTGAGCATTGTATACAAACATTACTGTGACAGCGATAAACTAGGACAACGGCCAGAGTTGATTGCTATTTCATTAAGCATCAAACCAATTAAGAACAACCGATAACAACGGAAAATTAAGTTAGTTTAGGCATAATACAGTTCATTACATTTGAATAAAATTCATTAAATGCAATACAATGGAGTTTAAATAGTTCTAAATCTATTCAATAGCGGGCTATGCGTCAGTAGCAGTAAATAATGTAAGACGGCTGTTGCAGACGTTCTTCAACTTGACTCAGTGGACTGTATAACTGTGTGTGTGTTGACGTCTCGCATCATCTGGTGTGGCGACCGGGGCCTGACAGGATATAGGTTGATATGGTAATGAGGCGAAATTGGGAATTTATAATATAAGAAGTGGATGCTATATGAATGGATATAATTTTGGATCAAGGTTTACGAGCACTCTTTTCAGAGCGACAAAGGAACCCTCTTTACAGAGAGCATGTTAAGACCTAAAAGGGTATGCAGAGCCCTCTTTTCAGAGAGACAAAGGAACCCTCTTTACAGAGAGCATGTTAAGACCTAAAAGGGTATGCAGAGCCCTCTTTTCAGAGAGACAAAGGAACCCTCTTTACAGAGAGCATGTTAAGACCTAAATATAGAGCCCTCTTTACAGAGAGACAAAGGAACCCTCTTTACAGAGAGCAAGAGGTATTAGGAAAATAAGGAATCAGATAGGAATGATAAGTAGACCCGGTCACCATGAAATAGAAGACTGTGCGAACCGTGTGCCACTCTCCCCGTGCTCTTATCCGCCGCTGCACTCCACTCTTCACCATTCACAAACACAAGATTCTTCCAAACTGGTGAGTATTGCAGATGGCGAATAGGCGATGACAACACAGTATCACTGACGAGAAGAGTTGGCCAGAGAGAGCGAGGCAGTGCTCTCTCGGCGCCGAAAAGTAAAGAAGTGAGAGCGAGGGTTGCTCCCGTCCCGTTTATGTACTGGGTCGGGAGGACACAGATGGCGACGGAAGTAATGAAATAACAAAGAAGCTACACACTACACAGCGTCCTGGTAACCCTACCACGCGGTCGGCACATGTCGGCCTAACGGCTCCGACCCGCCGGGGACACAGTTCCACGTGCGACGCCACGCTAGCCCACCCCCTCCCCCCGGGTCAGTTCCTCCGGTAACAGCGCATCCTTTCATACAACTGCAGCTGTAGGACACGGTCGCAGGGAGGGAGGAGCGTCCCGTCACCCGATCACTGCCATAAACTCTCTCGCGGACGGCCCATCTGCCGGCGGCATGGCAGGGGGATGGGGGCGGCGGCGGCGTGGATCGGCGCCGGCCGGGATCACGAGTCGGCCCGCCCCGGCAGCTACGATCAGAGCCGAAATGAGCCGCAACACCAACTACCTAGTGCAGTTTGTCGGCAACAACGGCAATTAAGGGGATATAAACGGGATTTCCAAAGCTCTGAACAATGGACATTGGAGAAACTAGGTTAATCTAGCATTCTATAAAAAGCTCAATGCTGTGTGCATGTGCAAGATTTACCCCCAGGACATGTATAACTATTCAGTCCCGTAGTTCACTGTGCCAGGGAAATTGCGTTCCGAATCATGGACTTTGAGAAAAACAAAATAAACCGAGTAACCTATCCATTAAATTAGTTTTAATAAAAATTAAAATTTATTCATTTAACGCTTGATGAGAATCCCCGAAATCATCAAGTTCTATTACTATCCCACAACATTAAAAAAAATCCGTTTATCCATTTTACGTTCTTCCAAGCTGTGCCAATCAATGCCAGGCATCACAGTCCGATCCGTGATACACCAATCCGTGCCGCCGGCCCAGCAGGTGTGTCGGCACGCACTGGGCTCTACCAAAGTAAAACTATCCCGGCTCGCAATGTCACTGCGCAAACGGCAGGAACGGGCGCGGCACTGCAGCCGCCCAGTCACGGCCGCGAGCTGCCCACGAAGTCAGAGTCGTGACTCGGACTCCAGACAACCAACGGTGACTCGGGATCCAGTCAACCAGCGGTGACCCGGACTGAAGACTCGTGCCGCTGCACTGTGAGCCAGCACTGCAGAAATGGACGGACGCCAGACGAAATGACGGGAAGACGGACGGACAGACGCACAGGCGCAATAAGGACATAAGGGAAGGATGAGACGCGAGTGGACGAAGTTCCTTGAGGTTCCTCTTACCTTCCTTGAATACCACCCAATGCCACCGACCTAAAGAGCAGCCTGCCTCTTTGCTATATCATAAGGGTCCGCCTGTGCCATCTCATCTTATCGACACACCCTTTCATCACCGCCGGGACAGCGCTCTCGGCATTCGGGCGTCTGTTTCCGCCGGCGCTATCAGTGTTTGGACGGCCGGGCCACACAAATGGCCGAAAACAAATCTGAATGCAATGCACTTACAGCGCTTCAGCGCGGCGTGCCTCCGCGGGTAAACAGCTCGTCGCAGGCCGGCCTGTCAGCGGTGACGACTATAGCTCATCTGTGGGAGCGACTGGGGCTATAATTTTCGGCTAGAATATTCGTCGGTGAGGCTCGAGTTTTCCCGTTTGCGCTCAAGATCACGACGAGTTATAACGTTTATGATTGAAAAATGTGGCAAATTAGCCTTTCGTGATAGCGGAAAAAACAGTTACATAAGCACCAGGACAATAAGTGGGCTAGAATTTGTGAATATAAGGAGGAAATTTGACTGGCAAATGATAGAGCGTGCAACGGAAGCATTCCGCTCCTGCGCACCATTAGGTAAGCTTATCGATTGAACGTACGCAAAACGCACTGCTTTAACTTGTATGTAATGTAACCATTACCTACGTGTTCTTATACCGCGTACAAGAATTTCATTTCTAAATGGTTTTGTCTTTTAACAATGAAACCATCCTAGCCATTGAAATATCCTTAGCGACCGCGGACAAGGACCCGTTTCAGTGAAATTGCTCACAGCGCTCTACTTTTTACTCGAACTTTTGGAGCACCTCCTTTTAATCCCATTATCAACCAATCAATATTTACCCAAAGGACCACAAAATGGCCAAAGTTAGGAGAGATAGCTCAGGCTGGAAAGGATATAAAATAGTTAGCGTATCTTTAGGCACCTGGGGTGAACCCGTCTGCGCCTTTCATCCATTTACGGTACTGTTGTCTTTACCAAATGGATAGGGAACTATTAACATCCCGCTTCTGAAAGGAAACATGTTAAATAAAGATAAAGAACACATGAACGGTTAAACATGCAACAAACAAGTGAATGGCCTGTTCAAACTCCGAGCAAACCATTTCACTTGAGTTCAATGGCTAGTTGAAATAATAAAACCAACCTCTAATTCCAGCGACATGAACAAATCGCATACCATAAATTCTAATTGAAACTTGAAATAAAAATGAAGACGTTGATTGATTGATTGATTGATTGATAGTTTGTGCCTGTGGGTGTCTTGGTGATAATAAACAAATGACCACATCCTGGGCAATCCTCCTGTTTGATGTGCACCCGTTCCCACAACGCTCTGACGATGGGCGCGGTACCGGCACACGTGACATCGTTTATGCCGTTTCTCCCCGGCGGCGGAAGGCGGCCCACAGGCGCTGTTCGGCACACCATGTCGCTCTCTACCGTTACGATCCCGGAGTCGGAACGCCGCACCGATGCCGCCACATTATGCTGATTTCCTCCATAGCCACTCGTTTGTGGTATCCGGCGACCAACTTTCTGCCGGTACGAGTCATCAGGCGGCCATAACGCGTGATTGACGGCACTCAATTCTCACCGGCTAGACTCTACCGTCTGTAATCTTTCCATTGCACTGTTGACTGCGGGTGAGCCAACTGTCATAACAGTCGCTCAATGACGGGTAACTCAATCAACAATACACACGTAAATAAACGTTTCTCCGCTTGGATGGCATTCGGAAACAATCACGCGATTGGAAACCACCAATGGAGCACCCATGTCTCACGAAACCCCCCAATCAGCATAATCACGTGTAAATCGGCCGGCCAGAGTCCCTGATTTCGGTCCGATTTGCGGGCTGGGGAGGGCCACCTGCTGCGGCGCGGTCTCCCGTTAGGCCCTCGCACGTCACACGGTGCCGCAGACACCGCAGCGGCGGCCCCCACACAGGAAACAGGCGAATAATGCGACAATGATGGAAAATTATCGACAAAATTGCCGGAAAGCGTCTGGGGCGGCACGGCAGCGGTGGCAGAGGCGGCGGCGGCGGCGGTGCAGCGAGGGCCAGTGGCGACTGTCTGAGCCCAGAGTCCGGTAGTAGGGGCGGCGATCCGATCGGTCCTGACACCGGGGTGTCAGTCCTGTCCGGTCCCATCGCGTCCGGCCGACGGATCGGACCACCGGCGAGCCGCCGGCCGACGCGTGGGAACGACCTAGCGACGGCCGAGGACAGCGGTCCGGCCGCCCCCGCCCTGTCCTCGTCCCGCCGAGGGCCGGTCCTCTGACTCACGCACACCGTGCGACGACGGAGCGTCACGGAACGGCGGGCACAGGCAGCTGGTCACCGCCGGGAGCGTCGCCGCCGGGACAGGGGCGATCGGTAATCATGGCCGGTGATCGGTGATCATGGCTGGTGATCGGTGATGATCGCAGAGGACGTCGCTCGGTAGCATGATGAGATAGGATGTGACAGGAAGACAGGATGACAGGCAGCCAATGTGCACGCACACATAGCGGGTCTAGTGGTCACGCATGCCCCGGTCACTCAGGATGAAATATACGACCGCATTGACGCACGCCATGTACATGGCGTGTCCACATGTATGTGCCCAGTGTCCACATGCATGTGGACACTGGGCTTCCGGAAGGCAGGGAGAATGTGGACGGATGAACGGATTAGTGTGCTCTCGTAACTTCGACCGTCAGTGACGGCTGCTTTGTTGAAACTTTATAAATTACATGTAGAAAGAGCATACCTACAATAAACCAATGGCAGAGGGAAGGGACAGGGGGACAGAGCGAGGGAAGAGACATGGAAAGAGTTAAGATAATGGGAGAAAGTGCGAAGGAAAATGGAAATATATGGAATAGAACGGGGTACAAAAAAGAGATGGAGGCGAAGATGGAACAGACAGAAGAGCGTACGGACAAATGACTGCTGAGACGTGCGAAGAGAGAACAGAGTGATATACAGTGATACACGGTCGAAGGACGGAGAGAGAGACGAATAGAGAACGGAGCGAATAACTGATAGGAACACAAAGGAAACGGACCGGGAGAATAGGAACTACCGCGCGAGAGAAAATTGCGAGGCGTGGAGGTGGTATCAAGGGCTTCACAATGAAAACGAATGAATGGCGTGCATACATACGTGGCGAGCGGGGCACGTCCCCGTAGTCGTGCATGGTTATCATGTCCTGCATGGACCTGTGGTTTGTGAATGCTTACACGGCAGGGGCCTATCACGAAAACGACGCGAGAATTTCAGAAGATATGCATAATCCAAGAGTATGCCGTGAAAACCTCTCAAAGAAAAATGCATCAGCTCAGCCTTAGTACCTGCACATTTGTTATGCATGGATAAAACAAAACGTGAAGCCCGAACCAGTAACCCATGGCCATTATGTAACAAGCTCATCGCTTGATTCGGCGCATACAAAACAGGCGCCCATGGAAAACCAGTATACCGGCGGCAGCAAAGGGCACGCGCTGCTCGGCGAAAGGCCCGCAGACGCGTCCCACGGCTAGTCAGCCTTGACTCGCGATAGTCGCATCAACCGATACCCACTAAGATAAGTTGGGTCACACAATTCAACAAAAAGCGGCCGCAGCCGGGCTGTTTTTGCCCGATGTAACACAGTCTCCTCAAATCAAGGAGAGAGTGATGCCACCGGTCGTTTCCGATGCACTATAGTAGAACTCGATAACCGATAAAACATCATGATACACCCCGATACTTTTTACTAAAGTCGACCCCTCGGCGCAGTGGAAGATCATTCCAGCTACCAGTTTACGAGTCGGAGTTGCCGAATCGCTCCTAGCATTCAGAATTGCGATAAGCAGCGAGGCCAGCTGGGCAAGATCTGCCCACTCCACCGGTGGCTACCGAAATCGATACCAATGGCGAAAGTGGCGGGCCGGGTCGTCTTACCTTCCTCGGCGTGTGTCAGCGGCGGTCCACAGAGAAGCAGCAGGGCCAGCAGGGCCCAGCGGTGGCCGGCGGACGGCGGCGGCCGCATCCCTGGCACCTCGGGTCACCGGAGGTCAGCCAGGTCACCGCCGCGCATCGGGTCACCTGTGGCAGGAGAGACTGAATGTCAGACAGAGATATATATATAGGTCTCGTTATATAGGATTGTTAGTTTTGTTGCTTTGGAGCAAATTTCTTCGAAGTCTGCCCCAAAAGCACTGCTCCTAACGGAGCACACCGTTGTCTCGGGTGTCACCGTTGTCACACCGTTGTCACTGAGATTCGTGCAGCGCTCCTAAACGGAGCTGTGGGCACTCACCCATTAACGCAAGTCATATGCGAGTCGGAAAGCACCGCGTTCCCTTCCGACAGTTGTACCTTATTGTCTCTGCGCTCTCACGTATGTCTCACATCGGAAACAGTCGCGGCCATTTGCGCAATATTGCTATCTAGATTGTTCGTGCCGCTATCGCGGCTTGGTAAAGCCCATATCTCACCCATTCTCAGCCGCGGCACATTTGTTTCCCTCGGCTATCACTATTTGTGGCCATGAGAAACGGCAATTACACGGAGGGCGGATTTTATCGTCTGGAAGCAGAGCCCTGTGTGAGCTGAGGCCGAGGTAAAATAGCAGCCGCCCAGAGCTTAATTGTGGACTAACTGACTGGTCTGTCCTGCTGGACTGACCCAAACGTTATGTGCGATACTGGTTTGCAGGGAGACAGCAATAAACAACCAATGAAGGAAAGTAAAATGAAGATAGACGGACTCGATTCCTTTTAGCTTCTCAGCAAATCACAGCCAACATAAAGTTCAATTTATGCTGAGATTTATACAACGGTCAACACAAACAATTTGCCATCAATCATCCAATATTAAAAGCCACCCAAATTTCAGTGCAAAATATTGTTTTGAGGAAAGTCTGGATATTCTATCAACGAACAATCACCGTAGAAAACACGCCATCTCCTCAATGCTCGGTCCGAATCGAATGGTCATCCTCGCAATCCACCGCAGGTCGTTACTTTGCTACGGCTCGGCAAACGAAAAACAGACCCAGTACTCAGCCCAGAGACGCCTAATGCTGTTTTATTTTGCGGTGCGATTTGACGAACAAATCCCGGACCGCCGGCTACCTCCGAGACCACTCTGATTATCAAGGTCACTCATATGCATAATGCATAATGCAACGAGCCATAATTTGCGCCGCCATGTCTTTAAGCGCACCCCGGCAAAAAAGGTCAATTTAAAGTGATGATTAGCATAATCTGTGCCGGGACGCTACTGAAGTCGGCCGCGCGCTCCATTCAGCTCGCTCCACTCCGCCGCGCTGCTGAGGTGGCCGCCGCGTTCGGCACCCACAAAGCCATGCTACACCCACGTCCGGCGGCGTGCAGTGTGCAATGTGCATCCCGTCCCCGGCGGCGCGGCGGTAGCCCGGCGCCCGTGCAGTACATACACCACCCGTCAGCCGGCGCCGGGGGCGGCGGACCGAGAGGCGGAGGATAGAGGAGAGTCTCAACTGACTCGGGGAGGTTAGGATGGCGTCCGGGGGTGGCGGATGGCGTCTGACAGTCGATGACATAACGACGAATGGTAGAGGCTGACTGAGGGTGAATGAGAATCAATGCTAAGACAGATGGATAGTAGCGACGGTGAGGCCAATATCTGCCCAGCCAAATTGGTCAGTCGAGCTCGTAGCTCGTCACCGGCGGTCAGCGCGGCTGTTGTGACAGTGGCGAGCACGGCGAGTGGCGCAGCGTGAACGACATACATACATATAGGCGGGCGGCGACGCGTGACATCAAGACAGCGAGATCCGGCGCCAACCGAGAACCGTCGAGACACGCATGGAACCACGCCGAGAATTGGCGACTCCGACCGAGACTCGCGGGGCCACGTCAAGGAGCAGTGCCCCTTAGCTGGGGCAGAGCCGTTACAGATGGAGACTTGAAGAGGCGTGAGCGAGTCAGAATACCACCGCCGTCTGCAGGGGCGGATCCAGCATTTTGCCAAGGGAGGGGCTATTCCGAATCGGGGGCCCCCCATCGATGGGGGCCCTACCTACCCCCAAAAGTTTAAGCCTGGATTTCGTCCACTTTATTTTTGGGGGCCCCCTATCATGCTTTTTTTGCAAAAAAAAAAAGAAAATGAGAAAGTCGCCCGGGGGGGGGGGGGCGCTATAGTCCCTATCGCCCCCCTGGATCCGCCCCTGCTAGGAGGCCTTGTATGTGAACTAGGAAGCCCTCTGTGATAGCTAGGAGGCCCTCTGTGCAGATGCGAGCGCAGGCCCTCAGTACAGACTTGGAGACCCTTTGTGTGGATGCGAGTGGAGGCCCTCTGTGGAGATTAAGAGGTCCTGAATTGGCGAAGAGGATATCTGTGCAGGCTTGGAGTCCCTCTGTGCAGGATAGGAGACCTTCTGTGTGAGTTAGGAGGCCCTCTGTGTTGGCTAGGAGGCCCTTTGTTCGGATGCGAGTGGAGGCCTCTGTGTAGGCTAAGAGATTTTGTGTTTGTTAGGACATCTGTGCAGGCTTGGAGGCCCTCTGTGCAGGTTAGGAGGCCCTGTAAAAGTGGTCATCTCTGTGAGTATAAGAGACCTCCAAGACCAAGTTATGAAAAGCTTTACCAATCTTCTAACAAAGAAGTCTTCTCAGCTAGTCTTCTAAGAAATAACTAAGTGGGTAGGTTAAAAAAAAAACTCATCGGATTTCGGCCACTTTATTTTCAGGAGGCCCCCTTTTCAGCTTTTTAACTTTTTATTTTATTTATGAAAAAAATCGGCCAAGGGGGGGGGGCCATGGCCCCCATGGCCCCCCCCTTGTATCCGCGCCTGGCCGTCTGTATTGTGGCTGGCGGCATGGACAGCTTGATTCAGACGGAATCGGCTCTGGCTGGGTTTCATGAAGAGATTGGTAAGTCGGTCAGAGCTCGGCCTCAACCACTGATGAACTATTGCAGACCGTACCGTCGCGTCCCATTACCGAAAACGCCTGGGCGACTCAGGAGTCAGCATTGGCTGATATGCAGACAGGCACAACCACCTTGCTACGGCCGCTAACATAGCAACTTTGCGTGCGAGCTGCGACTCGGCTATGGTTCAGGTTGGCGTGGAGATGTGGATAAACTCGAGGTACAGACGGGCCCAGCAGACGGAGATTCTAAGAAGGTGGAGGCGGGAGAAAAGGCGGGACCTAATCTGAGGCGGACCAAATTTTTAGCCGCTAACTAGTTCGGCAACAGCTTATACGAGACTTGCTATGCAAAAGAGTTAGCACTTGAGGCGAGTAGTGTGGTGATAGTTTTCATATTCCATTCAGGGGCAGAGAGCGCTAAACCGATTTGGTAGGTACACCTACTTGGCGATGTCATACATGCAGGATGAATATGTTAACACGACAGGTGCCTGCTATAGTGTGGCATCTCCTCGACAGCTGGACTGTGGCACTTTGAGCCGGGCGGGCCAGGGAAATGACATACAGCAACACGTGATTCTCAGAGGTGATAAGGACATAACCATTAACCGGAGTCACACTCAACACCAATCATTGCCATAGGCAACTCAAAGCAAAGAACCCAGCTTCATAGTCACGCTCACAGCTGCGTGCATCCGAGAAAAGCAAACTCCAACACCTCACCCTATAGCCCACACCGTTCCGCAAACAGTGCTGACCGGGCCGTCGCATTCCCCTTTCCGGCGCTTCAAACATGGTCGGGTGACCTCAGCGGTTTGGCAAACAGGTAGGTAACCGCCGGTGGCTCGGTCGGTTTGCGGTGCGACGCCGCGGTGGACGGTGGACGGGACTGCAGCGTTTTCCTCCTATCGAGCAGCTCCCGTAGCCCGTCACAGCGAGCCGCGCCACTCGTCTGAGACTGTCCAGCCCCATCCGCCCCTCGTGGCTCCACTCGACCCTGCCGGCGCCCCATCGGCCGCTCATTTTTCCTCCTCCGGTCGATCGACAGAGCACCATTGGGCCGATCAACTCGGTGGCAGTCACGACTTCGATACGGCGTGAGGACCGGTCGCCCCCGGTCCGGCTCCCGTGCACCGGCGCTGGGAGGTGGTTTGGTAATGGAATCACAAGCCATGTGGGATAGGTACATTTGTTCTGAGAGGTTGTTATCGAGTTCTTTCTTTTCATCCCGATCAGCTGTTGTTTGGGCTTGCAGCTGGAGAGGTTTCGATTTGCGACACAATAGTACAATGAACTTCAACCGTGCACAGCTCTTTAGAACTTTCTTCCCTGCATCTATACCTAGTCTATACCAAGTCAATGTGACTGAATGGTGAAGGTGCCTTATCCCTATTCCTGGCGGGCTCCGCCGGGACAAGAAACTGGCGGGGGGGGGGGGCCGATTCGGCCCCCCCCCCCCTGAGATCTCGAGAACGAAGCAAGATAGCGACAAACGGTAAACGGCATCGGATACGCACGGTCAAGATCTACAATTTTTACTAAGGTCATTTTCAGGTCAGGTCAAAGATGACGTCACAGGGGTCGAAAAAGTCAAAATGGCGGCGCTAGATATGGAGAGAGTTTTTCTCGAATAACTTTCGAATTAGTCAAGATAGGAACAAACTAAGGGCATCATCGTGATCCTCTCGTCAATCCGCATCGAATGATATATATGTTGACCTCGCAAGGTCAAGGTCAAAGGTTGACCTCAGGTCACGTGACCTCGAGGTCATCATGTATATCATTCGATGCGTCTTGACGAGCTGAACACAATGAGACCATCCACGCGTCTGTATCTTGTTCCTGTACGGAGTTATTGGCCAAAAACCTTTGGTGACCTTTGATGACGTCACATGACCTCACAGCTGCCCAACAGCAAAACAGACCTCAAGGTAGTGAAGGTTGATCGTATATGAAGTCATGTATGGTATATGGGGCCATTCCGACCCGTTTTAGTGGTAAAAACAGGGAGTTGATTTTTCCCCCATTGACTTATAATGGGGAGGTCGCGAAACTGACCTGACCTTAGGTCACCGATATCAAAATTCCGAGATATACAAATTGCACATACTGGTACCCTAACTAAAGCCTGAAGAGAAGAAATTGATCGGTCAAAAACTATAGCTCTGGCGTGATTGCAAACTTTTCTGA